ATGTTTACTATTTCCACCATGTGTTATTTGTTCAATTTTCCTGCTTTTGGATAGAGTCTTTTTTTTTTTAAATAATTCCATTTTGTCTCTACTTCTGGCTTATTAGTTATATACCAGTTTAAGTTTTTTAATGGTTACTCTGGGGCTTATAATATGCACCTATAATTTTTCACAGTCTACCTTCTAATATTATGTGGATTCATGTAGAGTAGAACAGCAAGCTTCCAATTCCTCTCTGCTCTGCTTTATGGTATTGTCACATTTTACTTCTTGTATATGCTATAAACTCACAAAACAGCTCACATTTTTGCCTTAATGAATATTTTCAAGTGATTAAAAATAAGAAAAACTATTTTATATTTGCCTTGATTTTAAGCATTTTCAAAGTTCGTTTATTCATTCTGTCTCAATTTCTATCTCTTTCTCTTTCCATTTCCTTCTCTTTCGCTTTTCTTTTCTTCTCTCTTTTGATCCGAATTTACTTCTGGTATAATATTCTGTAGAAATTCCTTTACTATTTCTTATAGTACTTATCTGCTGGTAGTGAATTCTATTGGCTTTTATTTATCTGAAAATATTTATTTTTGCACTTTTTTGAGAAACATTTTCATTGGGCTAGGAATTTTTGATTAGCACTATTTTGTTTCAGATTGTTAAAGATACCACTCCTCTGACTCTGGCTTGAATGGTTTTTGGTGAGAAGTCAGCTTTTTTTCTCATCTCTGTTCTTTGTATGTAATGTGTCCTTTTTCTCTGCCATCAGCATTTCCTTTGCCTTGTTTATTTTTAGCTATTTGGCAATAATAGATCAAGTTTCCTTTCTTGTTTTTTGTTTTTATATCCTGCTTGGGTACTCAGAGGTTCTGGGATTTGGCAGAGGTCTTGGTATTATTTTGGGAGAAATTCTCTGCTATTATCTCTGCAAATATTTTTTTTCTCTCATTCTTTCTCTCCTCTCTTCCTAGATTTCCATCACATATATGAGACCATAAAGAAGTTTTCCCATGGTTCTTTGATACCTTATTCTGTGTTCTTCACACTTTTTGTTTTAGTTTGGATGATTTCAATTAATCTATATTCAAGTTCTGACACTTTTCTCAGCTTTGTTGAGCCTACTCATGAATCCTTCAAAAGCATCCTTTGTGATACATTTTCTTTTCCAGCATTTCCTATTTGATTCTTCATTAATTTCTACTGAAATCCCCCCATCTGTTCATGTATATTGTCTGCCCTTCTCACAGAAGCACTCAACACATCCATCAGTTATGTAAAATTCTGATATTTCCAAAATATGCTCATCTCAATGTGTGTTTTATTAATTAGTCTAATGCTGCTTGGCAGAGGATTATTTATTCTTTTCATTTTGTTCTTTTTTTAAAAAGATTTTTATTTATTTATTTGACAGACAGAGATCACAAGTAGGCAGAGAGGCAGGCAGAGAGAGAGAGAGGAGGAAGCAGGCTCCCCGCCGAGCAGAGAGCCGGATGCGGGGCTCGATCCCAGGACCCTGAGATTATGACCTGAGCCGAAGGCAGAGGCTTTAACCCACTGAGCCACCCAGACACCCCTGTTCTTTTCATTTTGTAATTTTTTTTTGATTGCATGCCAAATAGCATGTATGGAACAGTGGAGACTGAAGTAAGTACTATATTTGTCTGCGACCGGGCACTGCTGTTCTGCTAGGATGTTAGGATGAACCAATCTGGAATTAGATTCTGCTGTTACAATAGTTATCTTCAGTACACCACTTCACATTTTTTCTGTTACCTGGTGTTTAGGGTAGGGGCTGGAGTGCTGGAGTATTTTTCTCAATGTTCCTTCTTCACCCTCAGCTTTTGGCCATCCCTGTGTACCTGTGCCTATTTTTGCCGCAGGATTCTCTGTCTATGTTCTTGCCATTTTCCCAATGTTGCCTGCTATTGCTTAATGCTAGGAGCAAGCCAGCCTGTTTATGGGAAAGAGAGATATTCTTTATTGTCTTGGTTTAGTCTCAGTTTTGAGTGGGGATTGGAGAGGACAGATTTTATGCATTTGGGGGAGCTAGGACTACATAACCCCCAAAATGAGACAGAAGCTCTCTTCCCTCAGCTATGAGCAAAAAAGGTAATACTGCCATCTTCTGACCAATCTAAAGACAAGAATTCACACCAAAGGACAGGAGTGAGAGAATTAAAAGCAAAACAAACTTCCTTGGCTGACCCAGACCCAAGTCTTACCCTGCCAGGATCTTTTCATTTATATGAGCTGAGAAATATGTTTGGTTTAGGCAACTCTATGTTACATTTTTAAAAAAATATTTTATTTCTTTGACAAAGAAACACAGCAAGAGAGAGAACACAAGCAGGGGGAGTGGGAGAGGGAGAAGCAGGTTTCCCACAGAGCAGGGAGCATAGTGCGGGGGCTCAATCCCAGGACCCCGGGATCATGACCTGAGCCAAAGGCAGATGCTTTATGACTGAGCCACCCAGGTGTCCCTATGTTACATTTTTCACTACTTAAAACTAAAATCACCCTAAATGATAAAACCACCATGAGCTCTCATGACCTACCTTTGTAGGGGATGACAGTAAAGAAATGCATTAGAAACCCTGATTTCTGATGATATAGTGCAACTTGAACTAGCCTCTTGGAAGCCAGGTTAAGTGAGTACTTTGGTCACCTTGTTCATCCAATGAGGGAAATGTAATAGAAAAATTATAATGCAGGGGCACCTGGGTGGCTTAGTGGGTTAAGCTTCTGCCTTCGGCTCAGGTCATGATCTCGGGGTCGTGGGATTGAGCCCCACATCTGGCTCTCTGCTCAGCAGGGAGCCTGCTTCCCCCTCTTCCTCTGCCTGCCTCTCTGCCTACTTGTGATCTCTCTCTGTCAAATAAATAAATAAAATCTTAAAAAAAAAGAAAAAGAAAAATTATAATGCACCAATTTATAACACTACTGAATTGTACTAGGGCATTCTAGGCTAAATTGAGACCTAAAGAAATTTCACAGAAAGATAAGGGTGCTGACACCCAATTTAACTGTATCCCCCCAAACCCAGGGAATTTTGAAAATTAACTTCAGGGATTTTATTCTTTAGTTTTGGCCATAATGCCACCTACTGAAATAGAGTAAACACATTTGGGTTCTTAACCATGGGGGATAATATCTCAGCAGTTTATTACTTCAGTAAAGTTGGTAAACGTTAGTTGAAAAAAGCTATAAATGAAGTACAAAAAAGAAAAGACAAAGCCAAAATTTTGCTTGTCAGAGAAAACCACTGCATATATGATGATGAGTAATCTTTCATACAACATCTATGAAGTATGTGTTTGAACACATATGTATACAGACTTAAATAACTGGATATTATGAAGGTACAATCACATTTTCACTGCACAGTATGCATGATTCTTTGTCATTTTAGATTGGTTCCTTACTTTCTGTAACTCCATTTGGTAGGAATTTAGAGAAATTTATTCAAACACCTACCTATTTCCAGTTTAAAAAATTACCCACATTCTACAATTTTTTCTATTAAAATTGCTTTATCATAAATTATTATTCTATGTTTCCAGGTGGGTATGCACATTTTACATATATATATAGTATTTCCATAGATATATATGCATGTATGTAAAATGTGCATACCCACCTGGAAATACTACATATCCTATATATGGTGTACATACACTATATATACACGTGTACATATATAGTATGACTCTGCTCTAACAAACTTGTGTATTTTTCAAACCCACCAACAGAATGTATTGTTTTTGGAAGATAGAGACTAGCAAGTAAAAGGCAATCCTATCTTAATAACCAATACATTTTGTAAGATGTTCAGAAAAATTCAAGATTTTTCCTTTCTTTGTGTGAGTGGGAGGACAGGGATGGAGAATTTGATAAAATTAAAGCCCTCCAAAAGCATCACAGATTACACCTAAGGAGGTTTGTATTGGACAAACACTGTAACTCTTAGAAATCAGTCAGATCAAAAGAACTTTGATGTCAATATGGAGACTAAAGAACCAAAGTATTATAATTTTGACATTTATTAAGAAACTATTTTTCATTAGTAACCCTTTCTGACACTTTGCAAATATTACAGTAAAACTCTGCCTTAACACACAGGGCAGGAGTAAAAAGTCAATTATGTAAAATGCAGTGTAACCAAAAACACTGTTTTTCAGTTTGTACTGTCGTTTAAAGTGCACATACATGTGTACACACACACACACACAGTGCTAAACTTAAACTGATGGTATACTGTATAGCAAGAGACCACATGGTAAGAATTCAGCTCATCCTGTTTAAGACAGGACAAAGGATTGGAGCCAATCCCCACAGGGTGGACAGCCAAGTTCACGTAATTTCAGATTGCAGTATTGCTTGATATCCAGTATTTCAAGGAATGTTTTCGCACTTGAAGTGCTTATATCAAGGTTACTTGCAGGATTCTTCCTCCAAACATTTTAAACGGTTTTTTTTGGGGGGGGGGGATGAACTTAATAAAATTTTTAAATAGGATACTTTTATACATTTTTAGTCATTAGACAAAAAGTACTGAGCACCTACAATGAGTCACACAATGTCATGGTTTTGTAAACTCAGTAATGAATGAAGCCCCTTCCCTCACTAAGCTTGTATTAGATAGGACATGGGTTTAGGCACACTCATCATTGTACTTTTGTTACTCTTATCTTTTAAAAGCCCTAGTGCAACGATAGTTAAAGTCATGCACAATGCCTGTTAGAATTGTGACAAAATTCCTTTATGGGAACTCTCCGGTTAGATGTCTCTGCTGTGTGGTCTATTGTGAATGTTGAGGTTGGGCAGAAACATTACATTTTCATTAAAGAAATTTTTTCTACTATAATAGCTGTAGTGATTGGAAAATTTCAGTTCCTAGTTGAGGGCTTCAGAACAAACAGAACTGTTTTATAGAACTTCATTTCTGTATGAATTCTCTGATGAAGGATAATCCTTACCATACTCTTCGCTTTTATAGAATTTATCACCACTGTGGACTCTCTGATGAATAAGGAGACCTGAGCTCCAACGGAAACCCTTACCACATGCATCACATTTGTATGGTTTCTCTCCTGTGTGGACTCTCTGATGAGCCTGAAGGTTTGATCTCTGACTGAAGCCCTTTCCACACACCTCACATTTGTATGGTTTTTCCCCAGTGTGGACTCTGTGATGAGCTTGAAGACTTGAAAACCCACTGAAACCCTTACCACACTGTTCACATTTATAGGGCCTCCCTTCTGTGTGGACCCTCTGATGTGCTTGAAGGCGTGAACTCTCACTGAAGCCCTTTGTGCATACCTCACATTTGTATGGTTTCCCTCCTGTGTGGACCCTCCGATGTGCTTCAAGGCGTGAACTCTGACTAAAGCCCTTCCCACACATCTCACATTTGTATGGTTTCACTCTAGTGTGGACTCTCTGATGACCTTGAAGATATGCTCTCTGACTGAAGCCCTTCCCACATACCTCACATATATATGGTCTCTCTCCAGTGTGGACACTCTGATGGCTTTGAAGGTATGATCTCTGACTGAAGCTCTTACCACACTCATCACACTGGTATGGCTTCTCTCCTGTGTGGACTCTCTGATGGGCCAGAAGAGTTGAGGCCTTACTGAAGCCCTTACCACATTCTCCACATTTATAGGGTTTCTCTCCAGTGTGGACTCTCTGATGAATTTGAAGATTAAAGCTCCAACTGAATCCCTTCCCACACTCCTCACATTTGAATGGTTTTTCTCCAGTGTGGACTCTCTGATGGCCTTGAAGGTGTGAACTCCGACTGAAGCCCTTCCCACACTCTTCACACTTGTATGGTTTTTCTCCAGTGTGAACTCTCTGATGGCCTTGAAGGTATGAATTGCGACTGAAGCCCTTCCCACACTCTTCACATTTGTATGGTTTTTCTCCAGTGTGGACTCTCTGATGGGCTTGAAGGTATGAACTCCGACTAAATCCCTTGTCACACTCCTCACATTTATAAGGTTTCTCTCCTGTGTGGACTCTCTGATGAACATTAAGAACTGACCTATGACTGAAGCCTTTACCACAGGCATTGCATTTGTATGGCTTCTCTCCAGCGTGGGCTCTCTGACGATCTTTAAGTTTTGAATTCCAACTGAAGCCATTCCCACAATCCTTATAAGCTTTCTCTCCAATGTGAATTTTCTGATGACCTTGAAGATATGAATTTTGGTTGAAGCTGTTACCACATGCATAATGTTTATATGGCTTTTCCCTTGTGTGGACTATCTGAAGGTCCTGAAAATGGGAGGCCAGACTGAAGCCATTACCACAGTCCTCAGAATTATAAGGAATCTCTCCCATGTGAACCCTACGCTGAATGTTAAGATTTGAGCTACAAATAAAACCCTTCTCATATTCCACATCTGTGTATAGTTTCTCTTCAGTGTGGGTTTTCTGGTGGACTTGAAGACAAGAACTCTGATTAAAGACATTCCCATTCTCTTCATATTCATGGGGTTTCTCCACAGTACAGACCCTAAAAATACTGTTAAGGTCTAAGCTATGACTGAAGTCTTTCTCATAAATATTGCATCTACAGGAAGTCTCCCTGGTGTGAATAAGTTCATAAGTGTTAAGAGAGGAGCACTGACTGAATTTCTCACCATATCCACATTTACATGGCTTCTCCTCTGTATGTTCTCTATGTTCTGTCTGATGGGACTGCAGGTGTGAACTCTCAAAAATACAACCATCTCCTCTATGAACACTTGGATTAATACAAAGAGCTGAACTGCAACCCTTTCTACACGGACGGTAAGAATGCGTCTTCCCTTCTAAGTGTAACTGCTGATAAACTTCCGAGCTGGAATCATTACTGAAGGCTTTTCTGTACTCATGACAGGGATAGGACTTTTGCCCTGTTTGAATTAAGTCTTGATTAAGCAATGAAACCTTCATGATGTTCCCTCCACAGTCATGGCAGCTGTAGTTTTTTCCTGGTCTGTGTACTCCCACATTGTCATTGTGATGTGATACCCAACTGGTGCTGTCACACTTACAGAAATTATTTTTCATCAAAATTTGCTGACATCTACACTGATAATTATGTGACTGTGTCAGATACATTTTCCTCCAGGAATGCTGGGATCTCCAAGATGGAAATTCTTGACTTTCTAGGCAACTGGAAACATCATCTATATGAGTCAATATACAGTTCTCGTCTTCAGAAATATGAACTGGGACTCCTGCCCAAAGCTTGCAGGGGACATCGCCTCGTTTTTGCAACTGAGAAATATTCCCTTGAAAATTTTTCATGGACTCTTGACACCTGGTTAACCTGCCTGCACCCTGTTGCCAGGTCTGCCGGGAAGAAACCTCTTTGGGAGAAATGTAGTGTAATCCCACTTCTTGATTACTCTCCATATTGTGTTGACTCTTGGCTCCTATAATAATAAAGAGAATTTAGACATGTCCACGAGTGAATTTTTTATCCAGATTTTCAAGATTTTGCACTTAGGTCATGACATGAAACTTTAATGAACTATGGAAAAATTCATGTTACTTTTTTTTTTTAAAGATTTTATTTGTTTATTTGACAGAGACAGAGATCACAAGTAGACAGAGAGGCAGGCAGAGAAAGAGAGGGAGAAGCAGGCTCCCCGCTGAGCAGAGAGCCCAATGCAGAGCTCAATCCCAGGACCCTGAGATCATGACCTGAGCCAAAGGCAGAGGCTTAACCCACTGAGCCACCCAGGCACCCCTCATGTTACTACTTCTGAGAGTACTTAGAAAGTAGCTCTTCTTTGGTTATATTCAGGAATATAAGTAGGATCCACATAATTCAGGCTATTTGTATGCCTCAAAATCAGGGCTTTGCGACACAACCTGGAAACATCAAACATGGTAGCCCTGTTCAAAGCCCTATTAAAACCATATAAGTATTATCATAGGTTTATCATGAGTTGCCTGGAGATCCCACAGACAAACTAGAAGGCAGTATTCTCAAATTGGAAAGAACAGGATTCAAGTAGACAAATGGTTTTTGTCCTGATAATAACTTTTGCTTTTTTTCTCTGGCATGTGGGTATGGCAATGTTTTAGTTTGTGTTAGGAGATAGTGTTAAATGCTGTGCAAAGGTAAACACAGAGGCATCATATGGACTCTCTAATAAGCTGTTTATCATCATGAGAATAAACAACTCTTCTAAGTCACTTTATGCTATATCAGTTTCAACTCTTTAAAAAAATTGTATGGTATATATGAACCATATCTTTTTTTTTTTTTTTTTTTTGTTTTTTGAGAACCATATCATCTTTATCCATTTGTCTGTTGAAGGGCATCTTGGTTGGCTCTTTCCACAGTTTGGTGATTGTGGCCATTTTTGCTATGAACATTGGGGTACATATGGCTCTTCTTTTCACTGCATTTGTATCTTTGGAGGGTTTTAGAAGGGAGCGGGGTTGGGGGTTAAGTGAGCCTGGTGGTGGATATTAAGGAGGGCACGTATTGCATGGAGCACTGGGAGTGGTGCATAAACAATGAATCCTGGAACACTGAAAACATAAAATTAAATTAAAAAAAAGATATTTCACAATTAGCAAAGGACATTGTATAGATTAGAATGTGAAACACTGTGATAGAATTCAACTCCAAAGACAGAAAAAAAAAAAAAAAATGGAGGTGGAAGGAGGGAGCACAGCCAAGTTCCCTGGCACCTTCGGGTGTCCTTTGAGGCAAATCACCAAAAACCAAAACTCAATGAACACTGACTTTGGCTTGTGTCCTTTTCCTGGAAAAATACTTTAATGTTTAGGGATTTTGAAGCACCATAAGACTTGAAGACAGGCACATTTTGGTGGAAATGGTCTGTCACTTAGTTATTAACACTCTGCTTATAAGCAGACAGCAAATCCTCATATCCTGGTAAGAAGTATCCTTCCTGCAGACAATGGATTCAGCAGGGCTGATGTAATAACGTACATTTATCTAGAATATTCATTTATTGAAGAGTGACATAACACAGTTGATACTGAAAAAAACATGTCATAAACCCCAGATATTTAAGAGGAATATAAAGTGAAACAATCTTTTAGTTCCCATTTTGGAAAAGAGCAACTTGAAGCTTTTTTTTTTTCTTCTCATTACAGGCTTGGTTTTATTATTTTTTTTATTATGTTCAGTTAGCCACTGTATAGTACATAATTAGTTTTTGATGCAGTATTCAATGATTCACTAAGTATGATACCCAGTGCTCATTATGGCACATGCCCTCCTCAATACCCATCACCCTGTTACAACTCCCCCCACCATCTTCCCCTCTGAAACCCCCAGATTGTTTCTCAGAGTCCATAGTCTCTGATGGTTCATCTCCCTCTCTGATTTCGCCCCCTTTGGATTTCCCTCCCTTCCCCTATGGTCCTCCCTGCTACTGCTAATGTTCCATGTATGAGTGAAACCATAGGATAATTGTTTTTCTGTGCTTGGCTTACTTCACTTAACAGAATCCCCTCCAGTTCTTTTCTTTTTTTTTTTTTTTTTAAGATTTTATTTATTTATTTGACAGATAGAGATCACAAGTAGGCAGAAGGCAGGCAGAGAGAGAGCAGAGAGCCCGATGCGGGGCTCAATCCCAGGACCCTGAGATCATGACCTGAGCTGAAGGCAGAGGCTTAACCCACTGAGCCACACAGGCGCCCCCAGTTCTTTTCTTTAAAAGATTTTACTTATTTATTTGACAGAGAGAAAGGAATGGGGGTAGAACAAACAGAGGGAGCAGCAGGCAGAGGGAGAAGGAGGCTTCCTGCTGATCAGGGAGCCCAATGCAGGACTCGATCCCAGGACCCCAGGATCACGACCTGAGCTGAAAGCAGACACTTAACCGACTGAGCCACCGAGATGCCCCAACATGTATTTTTCTAACACTTGACAGCCCATTAACTCTCTACAGCATCCAGAAAAAAAAGCAGTAAAACAGGATTCTTTTCATACATGAATACTATCCTCAAACATAATCATTCTTCCTTTTCTGTGTTTGTCTGTCTGTCCACACTAGAACATATTATCTACCAGGATGAACTCTTTGATTCCAGCAAACAGGAGTTACTCAATAAGCATATGATGAACAGATCCCAGGGTGAGTCATTCTCACTCTCAGAACTATAAGGGCATGGATACATGTTGTTGTTCATGGGAAAGAAACTGGTGACGGCAAATTTGCCACAAAGTTGAAAAGCTGTGTAAGAGGCAGGGCTACCGTTAGGGGATCACCCGCTGATGAGAAAAGCCAAGGTCACAGGAATCTTGTGGATTGAGTCTTTTTAATTTTTAAAATAACTTAAAATAGTGTATTTTTTCTTGTATAAAATCTACTGGTAACCCCTCATTATCCCCAACTTAAAAAAAAAATGGCGGGGTGCCTGGGTGGCTCAGAGGGTTAAGCCTCTGCCTTTGGCTCGGGTCATGATCCCAGGGTCCTGGGATCGAGCCCTGCATCGGGCTCTCTGCTCAGCGGGGAGCCTGCTTCCCCCTCTCTCTCTGCCTGCCTTTCTGCCTACTTGTGATCTCTGTCTGTCAAATAAATAAATAAAATATTAAAAAAAAAAAAAAGGGAAAAAGAAAATGCCACACTGATGCCGGGGTGGTATTAGAATCGGGGGCACAGCGAAGACTGCAGGGTAAAACTTTATGGCACATCCATACGTACTCCTCTTGGTACTTAAGAAAAAAATACAAGTGGGGTGCCTGGGTGGCTCAGGGGGTCAAGTGTCCAACTCTTGATTTCGGCTCAGGTCATGATCTCAGGGTTGTGAGATCAAGCCCCATGTCAGACTGTGCTGGGCGTGGAGCCTGCTTAAGATTCTCTCTCTCTCGGGCGCCTGGGTGGCTCAGTGGGTTGGGGCCTCTGCCTTCAGCTCAGGTCATGATCCCAGAGTCCTGGGATTGAGCCCCGCATCGGGCTCTCTGCTCAGTGGGAAGCCTGCTTCCTCCTCTCTCTGCCTGCCTCTCTGCCTACTTGTGATCTCTGTCTGTCAAATAAATAAAAAAAAAAATTTAAAAAAAAACTTTAAAAAAAAGATTCTCTCTCTCTCTACCCCCTTGCCCTTCCCCCCTACCAAAAAAACCCTACGACATTTAGTGATGTCTCTGGCTTCTCAAAAGCCAGGCTTCCAGT